CTGAAGCTGCAGCTGTTGCTGCACCAATTCTATAGCTATGAAAGGCATAATCTGATGCTTGACAACCCAAATGAGAGAGAAGTTGCCTAGTCTCAGCAGTTAATGCATCCTTAGTCAATGGACGTCCCGAAGCAAAAATAAAAAGAGGTCCAGGTGTAGTTCCCCTCCTGGTAAGATAATGCTTCATTGCATTAACAGGGCAGATACTCTGATTAGTTTGTCCTATTAAAAGGTTATGCCCCATCCTGAAGGGATCAGTTTTAGAAACCTTGACTTTGACTAAAAGATGAGAGGGGTTGGACTAAGATGGTTGAAAGATAATATCAAGAGGTGTAAGATGAGCATCAGAGTTAAATTGGGAGTTACATCTCAGTTCACCTAACCGCATGAAACCAAAGAAAGCTAACGTCATAGCAGGCCAGATCATTAGAGAGTAATAATTTGCGATGTACCTGATTGCTAGTTAGAAGGGAGTAGAAAAATTTGAGGTGGGATACTATAATTGGCAAACAAGTTCTGATTGTGCTACCTTCAGATCTCTTATTGCCACGGCAGACAAGGTGCAAGCGAAGGAACTTCCTAAGGTTAAGCTGGTAGCCGCGGCAGATGTGAAAATGACGGACTGTTGCCAAGTATCCCTCGATAGTGCAATGCTTGACCGATTTAGCAAGGTAATCAACATACTGTATCCAAGTGTCCTCGTCTGTTGGTAGAGACTGAGCATGCAAAGGCCCCTGTACCGTAGCTTTGCTTTGTAGAATCAGCGTCCGACAAACTAAGATAGCGCTGGATGTCTGCCATTAGATCTTCAGGAGTTCGGGTGGGACAAGACATGGATCTCGGTTGGCATGGGTTGCTAGCTCCCTGAACCGATCAATCTGAAAGTGAGGGAGGGAGTCAGCTATGTCATTCCTCTTGTCCTCTATGTGCTCAGCTCTAATACAAAAATTGAACCCTACAGTCAGAAGAGTCAAATGACGAACAAGATCCATGACCTTTGGGATACGGGACCTCTTTGTGTTAACAATACTGACAACTGATTCATTGTCACAGAAAAACTGAATGCGCTTGTTTGAGAAAAAATTGACCCATAGATGACAAGCAACAACAAAGGCAAACAATTCTTGCCATGCAATGGAGATCCCTTGCTGACCTAGTTTTTGATGGGGTTCCCATGAGCCCTGAAACCAGTGGGTTTGAAAAATGTTCCCAAATCCCAGAGAACCAGAGGCATCTGTGTACAGAGACAAGACATCTGAAGTGACCCAATGAGATTGCATAAAAAACCCTGCCCTATTCCAATTGCATATAAAATCCTCCTACATCCTAAGATCTTTAAAGAAAACCCTTGCTCAACTTAATACGATGGTGAGGTAAAGAGACGTTCCTAGTGAGCTGGATCATACTTTGCAGGAATGGCCGGCGGGGGGGATAACCTTGCAAGCAAAATTCAAAGAGCCAATAAGAGACTGTATTTCCTTGAGTGTGCAGGAC